TGGGAGAATGGGTTAAGGACATCCCCAGAGAGAGCATGAATATAGTAGGGTGTAATAGGCTTGAGCAAGGAGAATACATTTGAAATCCATGAGCAAAACTGAGGTCCAGACTAACAGAAAAGAAGGCACAGGCTAACGGGGTTATGTGAGAAGTTTATCCTGCACAGTAATTAAAGATACATCCATCCATCCATACATATATATATATATATGTGTGTGTGTGTACATATATATGACAATGAAATATTGTAGTGCCAGTAATTATTTAGAATAACTAAACCCTGTTTCAACAGAAGAATGAGAAAACAGATTTAGTCACATACTGCTAATAGAAGTATAAATTGGTACAGTTTTTCAAGAGGCCTAATTGGCAAAATAAGTTAAAGTCCTTAAATATGTATAGCCTAAATTACTCTTTGATTCTACTTTCAGGTCTTTACCCTACTGAAAAGCCACTTAAAGAAGAACGTAAATGAATTGTGACCAATCCATACACTCTGTTACTAATATTCAAGTTAAAAATCATTCGGTAGTTGACCACAGAAATCCACATGTGTCTTTTACAGTCTTTCAACAACTATTATATTAGTTGAGCTCTGTAGAAAGGAATCTTCTTTATTCATGAAGAAAAGTCAACTCAGGCTTTACTGTAGAATAAGGGAGCCTGAACTCTGCATGAGTTCTTACACTGTGATGTAATGCCTCTCTGGAGTGTTGAGAGAGCATTTTTGTTGCTTTATAATATTGTTATTGGCAAGCCCATTACTGCTGTATAATAACAATACTGAAGTAATGCTGTTAGTTTCTTGATTTCTTAAATTGAGTGTAGAATTTAGAGTCGTAACATTTAAATTATTCTTTAAATAAGAATTACATGTGGTATTTATGCATCTCATGAAAAAACAAAAACCAATAAGACATTTCACTTATCAAATTGGCAAATATTTCTACAGTTTTATTGAGGTATAATTGAAGTATAATAAGCTGCACATAATGTATACAGTTTGATCAATTTTGACATATGAACTGTTTTTACTTATAGCACTTCTGACACCAAATATATGAAGATTTTTTTCCCTCATACCAACCACTTCTCCAATTTTCCAGACACCAGTTGAGTGTCCTACAGTTCAACTCAATTCTGACATGACCCAGAATTAACGGAGACCCCCACAGATAAGGGCTCAGCCCCACGAGACTGCCCCACTTCAGATGCCAGTCACAAGTCCCATGCCGCTACCTGCACTTCTCACCAGCTGGCTGTCAATTTAGGAAGTTCCCACAACCCCTTCCTCACGTTTGATCATTGGCTAGAATGGCTCACAGAACTCAGGAAGGTACTTTATTTACTATCACTGTTTTTTTTTATTTGTTTGTTTTGTTTTTTTAAGGATATAAAATGAACAGCCAAATGATGAGGTGCATAGCATGAGGTCCAAAAGGGTCTGGAGCACAGCAGTTGGCATTGGGGTACACCACCCTCCCAACACATGAATATGTTCAAAACTCGGGCGCTCTCCAAGCTTCATCATTTAGGGGTTCTGTATGGAGGTTCCATTACATAGGCAAGGTTGATTACATCATTGGCGAGCTCTAGCTCCTCTCACCTCTCCAGAGGTCAGGGGGTGGGGCAGAAACTACCTTTTTTCTTGTTTTGGTATTGGGTATTATTTGAAAATCTTCTCACTTATCTACACAGAAAGCAGAGCCAAAGATTTTTTAATAATAATATTCAATATCAAAATAGGGGAAAAAAGGCACTTTCATATGTTAATATGGGAGTGTGAAATTCTTACAGCTTTTTTGGAGTTGTACCAATTTGGAGCAAATTGTTAATGTCAAAAAAACCTAAAATGCATATTGTTTGAATAGCAATTCTGCTTCTAACTTAAGGAAATAAATTTTCTTGTAAACAGGGTACAAACAAAAATGTTCATCACTCTGTTGTTTATAATTACAAAAATTTGGAAACAAATTCGATGTCCAACAATATGGACTTGTTTAAGGAAACAATTCATATAATGAAATATTATGCCTTAATATTAGTAGTAGAAGTATACTGTTTTATAAACAACAGGATCATATGGTATTCCTATGTTTTAACATATTTTTCCAACTCAACGACAAAAAAGTTCATACAATAAAAAGACTAAAAGCATATCTTTAAAGCAAAATGTTAGTAGTTTCCTCTGATTAGTGAGATTTATCTGTATTTATTCCAGTGCGTGTTTTCTTTAAAAAATTTTTATTGAAATTTCTTCCTGATTATAAAACTAACACAAAGGCATAAAGTCAATCCACAAAATCCATAAAATATGTATTAATTTGAGCTATATAAATTATTTTTTAAAAAAATAACAACTGTTTTATGTTTTGATGCTATCAGGATAAAGTCCCTGGAGCTTGGCCCCTGCCTACCTCCACCTTAACCTTTTTCCGTTCCCACCTCTCCATGCCATAGTGGTAAGGAACTGCCTGAGGTTTTCTGACACACGCACTCTGCTGGTCCCTGCCTTTATCTGCCTTCAGTGCTCTTCCTCCTTGGCTTTATTCTCCTTATCCCCTGAAATCTGTGTCATGTCCAGGAAGCCTTTCCTGAGCTCCTAGTGCTTCTCCTTTGCCATTCCCTCTGCTCTCTAGATCCACCTTTACTGGGCACCTACCACGTTATCCCTTTTCATTTTCCTCTCCCAACAGACGGAGCCTGACGGCAGTTTAGGACAGTATTGGTTAGCACAGTGCCTGGAACCTAGCGATAGGAGCTTAACTATGTGTGTGCGCACGTGTATGTTTAACTGCATAATAGAAATAAAGATGTGGTGGGATCAAACAGCGGGGAGTGTTGGAAGAAGTGTGACTATATCTGAATGACTAGAGCATTCAGCAAAAAATTCATGAAGAATTTTTTTTTTTTAAGAGTTTATTTATTTGTCAGAGAGAGAGAGAGCACAAGCAGGGGGAGCGGCAGGCAGAGGGAGAAGCAGGCTTCCCACTGAGTGGGAGCCCGATTCGGGGCTTGATCCCAGGACCCTGGGACCATGACCTGAGCTGAAGGCAGACGCTTAACCAACTGCGCCACCCAGACGTCCCTTCATGAAGAATTTAGATGAAAATAGAAATATAAGGAGGAGCCAGATGATTAAGAGCTTCATATGTCATCCCAAGGAGTTTGGATTTAATAGTGCAGTGATGGGAAGCCAGAAAAGATGTTAAAGTAAGAAAATGGCTAGCCTTAGAATTTTTCAAAGTGTTAGTTGTTATTAATGTTACATTAAACATTAGGATATAGAATTGTTGAATCAGTATGTTGTACACCTGAAACCAATATAACACTGTATGTTAAATATACTAGAATTAAAATAAAATTAAAATTAAAAAATGGGATATAGGGCGCCTGGGTGGCTTAGTCAGTTAAGCGTCTGCCTTCGGCTCGGGTCATGATCCCAGGGTCCTGGGATCCAGCCCCGCGTCAGGCTCCCTGCTCGGTGGAGCCTGCTCCCTCTCCCACTCCCCCTGCTTGTGTTCCCTCTCTCGCTGTGTCTCTCTCTGTCAAAACAATAAATAAATCTTTAAAAAAAAATGGGATATAAAATAAATTTGTGAAGTCCTGAGTTAAACCAAGTTGAATAGATTTTTGTTCTGAACTTCTCAGTCTTTACTACGCTAATGTGCATTTTTAATCTTCCAAAAGGTAGGGGTGTGTGTATGTGAAGTCATTTGCATTATTTCCTAGATTTATTTATCATGGAACACTTTTATTTGGGGCTATGTTACAGACATTTGGGGAAATGGACACCAGGGAGACTAGCAGCAGTGAAATCTTTTTTTTTTTAAAGATTTTATTTATTTATTTGAAAGAGAGCGCTCGAGCAAGCTTAAGCGGGGGGGCGGGGGGCAAAGGAAGGAGCAGACTCCCCGCTGAGCAGGGAACACAACGCAGAGCTCCATCCCAGGACCCTGAGATCAGGACCTGAGCTAAAGTCAGACGCTTAACCAACTGAGCCACCCAGGCGCCCCAGCAGTGAAATCTTTTAGTGAATGTTACAGTAGTCCAGATTAGAAACATTGAAGGCTTGAATCAGAAGGTTAATGGTGGGAGAGAGAGAGGCAAGAGCATGGGAATTAAGTTGTGTCTGTCAGAGCACATTCTCCAAAAGCGGTGATTTCTCAATAATTTTAAAAGAGCATGATTTGAGAGTTGCTAGTATCTGATCCAAAGACATTAAAACATGCAGTGTGAAATGTGGTTTGAAACATCTCTGAGACAAATGGTTGTCAAAGGAAAGGGCTTCTTTTATATGTTTACAACCGCAACAACTGATAACATAGCCCTAGGCTCACTCCTCTTGATATCAGAACCAGCCCATGGTCTGGCTTGAACTCACACACTAGATGAAGGGACAAATTCTAGAGTGGATATGGTAACTGCTTATTTATGGGTGAGTCAAAGATGGTTGTCAGGAGTGTAGGTTGGACAATGAGCAGATAGATGGTGGTATCATGAGATTAACAAGATAGGAGACAGTGCTAGTTTTGGGAAGAAGATACTCTTGTCACTTTTTGAAATGTTTGTGAGTTAAAGTTGTCTGTGGGACACCCTTGTGAGGAGAAGAGCACCTGTATGCCATCAGGTATATGAGTTTGTACCTCAGATGACTTGGACTGATTCAGCGTTCATTTTACTTACTGTTTCTCAATGGCTGCATATGTTAGGGGTTTCATGTCTCTTTATGAGATGATAAAATACTAAATTGCAGGTTGAAGATCCAGCACATTCCTAATCTTTTTAAACTTCTGATTTGGGAATATTGAAACATGTTATTCACCTCTAAATTGAGGCTGCAATTGCCTCGGCACGTATGAGGAAGACGCTTAATTGACAGTGTTTCTTACTACTTTGTTTTTAAACCAAGTAAAATCATTAAGTTAATAATGCTATAACATGTTTCTATTTTAATTATTTTAAATGTAATAACAATGTTCCTTCATTTTATTTATAGCTCCAAAAGGAATTCTTCATTTGTCTCCTGATGTTTATCAAGAGATGGAAGCCAGCCGCCACAAAGTAATCTCTGGCACTACTCTAGGCTATTTGTCACCCAAAGATATGAACCAACCCTCAAGCTCTTTCTTCAGTATATCTCCCACATCGAATAGTTCAGCCACAATTGCCAGGGAACTCCTAATGAATGGAACATCTCCTACAGCTGAAGCCATAGGTTTAAAAGGAAGTTCTCCTACTCCCCCTTGTTCTCCAGTACAACCTTCAAAACAACTGGAATATTTAGCAAGGATTCAAGGCTTTCAGGTATGAATTAAAAGCAAAAACAAAAACCAGAAAACAAATTCATTAGCCCCAAATCCTTCATCTCTATCCATCAGAAAGCTCATCCTTGCCTGCTAGTGTGACCTATATGCCACTTACATTGTAAAGTATTAGGAACACAGAGGTCAGAAAAAAGAGAGCCATATGCACGTGCCTCATTTTCTTTTATTTTCATTCTATCCATTCATCTTTTGCTGCCTGGCTCTCCTCCATTTTCCTTCTTCTTCCTTTTATTTATTTTTTATTTTTTTGAAACATTTCTAATTCTCTGTTCTGTCTTCCAGTTGGTCTTGATTGGGTGCATTTAACTCCTCACTCTGTCTTCCACAAACAAAAATTCTGCCTTCATACATTTGGTATTAGTATTTAGCACGAAGTTCTCCCTCATTTACAATAAGGCTGAGTTTTTCTAATGATGATTTTACTTTCATAGCAGTTTTGAAGTTGGCATTGTATTGCTAGTAATGATTCAGGTATACTGTGAAGGTACAACATTCTAGAACTCTATCTTAGGAGTTAATTAAACATGGTATTAGAACAATAATGACATGCTTTCTAGTTGTTTGAGGCATAAAAACATGTATTTGTTTTAGTGGCTCATGTTTTGAACCGTCTAGGGTAGCACCTATCTCATGGTACTAACAATTTTGTTCCACCAGTCAGTCTGACTCTAGCTCACAGCTCACTGAACTTATTGTATATGAATTTGGGGATGGAATTTTTTTTCCCTATTTATTCTTTGTTCCCTTAAAAAAAAAACAAAAAAAAAACCCCAACCGTTTTTTCTGGATAGAGCTTTTAAAAGAATTGTTAACTCTAGGAAAAGGAAATACCTGTGTTCTGATTTCTTAGTTCCCTTGAAAATCATGTACTGAACTGTAACCGCTGACCTGACTGGATGAACAGCCACGTGCTCATGCGTAGAAAGAGTGTACTGCACCCTCAGATTTCACTGTTTTCATCCCTTTTCCATCTTAGTCTTATTCCTTAAGACCAAAAACTGTAATTTCCTTTAGAAGTGCTCTAGAAGCTCTGTATTGTGTAGAATGATCATGTATTTATAAACATTTTACAAGTTTAGATATAAAATCAGAAAGAAGATCATGTGTTTTGGCAGGTATTTTGCATGGTTTTTTTTGTTTGCCTTCACAGAAACCCGATTCTTTCAAATCTGTTGCCAGGTAATCGTTAGTGTTTTTAATTAGACTATTAATATGAAATTGAAGAAGCTGTTACCAATTATTGGCTCTGTCGTCTGAAATTTTAAACACTTAAAGTTAAAATTTTAGAATTTGTTTTTGTTGTTTACCTTAAGAATGACAATAAATCACTGTTTAAAATAAAAAGACCTCAATTCATACAGTTAAAGTACTGGAAAAAAGCTAATAATTTAGTTCTATAATCTGCACACAATGAACTAGAAATAAACTGTGATGAAAAGAAATTCACTGCTTATTTACAAATCTAGTTATTTAGAAATGTCTGAGAGTAACACTGCATTTTTATAGAAACAAAGCACAAAATACATTCAAGCTCTGAATTGATTTTTTTGCTTGGAGATGTTATTATGGTAGATAATAATTTTGCTGCCAGAGGAACTACTTAAATTTTTTTATTTGTATTTATTTGTTATTTCTTGGTGATGATAACAATGATAATTTTATAATTTCTTTAGTCAAAATGTAGAGTCTATTGCCCCCATTATTGGGCTGACTGCTCAGACCTCTTTTTAAAAACTTATGCTAAGATAATATGCTCTTATTTATGGACAAGTTAAACATTCCCAAATTTGTGTACTGTGATTTTTACATACTAATGAATATAAACAGATGGTTTTAAAACATTACTGTGCTGCTTTGGTCAAATGAGCTTGGTATTGATGTGAAATATTGTGTCACTGATAGATTGCAACCTGCAGCTGAGCAGTGAACAGAAGCTCTGTGGGAAATGGCTTAGTGTCCTATCAGGCACAGAGCATATCTTCATAATGTCACAGTAAAAGGTTCTTTGTAGTTAAGAGTTTTAAAGCCTATTTCTTTATAGGTAACTTTCTCAGGTATCTTCACCTGGTAGAAAAACATGTAGACTGTTTCTCTTTCTTAAATGTTTCAATTGGACTGTAGTTTAGAAATTATAGGGCGAGCTTGTTATGGATTACATGCTATTCTGTTATTTTTATTTCTGGAATTTAAAACAATAAATTCTTTTTCTGTGTTTCTAGGTTAGTACTTTTTTATTTTGTTATTGTACACTGAATAGATATTATTGCTTATTGAATATTGTATAAACCCTTCTTTGGCCTTCCTTGCCCATTGAAATTTGACTTAAGCCTATCAGAGCCATTGTATGTGACAGCTATATTGTATTACAAAGTAAAAATATATTAGTGTACTGAAAACTAAGTTGTTTTAACTTAAAAATTTTTTTCATTACCCAGTCTTTAATTGAACTTTATAAATTACAGAAAGCTTATTTGCTCACTAGAATGTAGGTATTAACATCCTTTGCTTAAATCTACAAAATAATTAAAATTATTATACAATTAAAGTTATTAATAAAGCTGACTTCACAGAGCAGAATGTGATTGAACACTTGCACATTCTTGGTAATTCTTTGATCGTTGCTTGGGCGCACCTAAAGTTTTTATCTTATTTTAGATGCAAGCTTTTGGAATCCCATCATAAATGAATATGTGTCTCTTTGAAGTTTTATTGAGTGCATTTTAACTATCCTCTTAAAACCTGAATGTTCTTATTGATTGTTTTATTATTTTTTAGAAAGAGAAGTTTTATTTCAACAGTTCTGTGAGCCTTAGATTTTGTCCCGCCCAATCAGTATGCTTCTATAACTTCAATGCTTTTCACAAAAACTCATTTGAAATTATAGTTATAGTTATACCAACGTGTTTCAGCGTTCTTTGTTATGTACCTTGATACTCTTTAATTATAATGCCAAAACTATTCAGCTTTTTAAAGACAATTATTATGGCAGAGATGTTCTTGAAATTCTGTGCATTTGAACCAAAGTGGAAGACTTTTGTTTTGTTGTTATACTTTACATTATTCTAAGTTTTTATGTCATTAATATGCTTTGCCATACTAATGATATTAGAAATTTAGATTTGTATAATTAGATATAGGCAGTTCCTTTGTCTTTTGGTTCTTGCACCAATTCTAGTGTATGTGTAGGGGTGGGGTGGTTCCCACACAGCACCAAGGAGGGTGTCTGAGAATTCAACTCAGTTCTGATACTGTCTCCATGGAGACAGCATCAGATCCCACAGATCAAGGATTCAGTCCTACAAGACCCCACTCCCCACCAACTATTGGATATCTGTCAAGCCCAGGTTGCTAACTCGTACTTTTGACTGACAGCTATAAATCAGAGGTTCCCCCAACCTCCTCCTCAGGTTCAATTAATTTGCTAGGGCAACTCACAGAACTCAGAGAATTTTACTTACTAAATTCCCAGTTTATTGTGAAGGGATAGAACTCAGTAGAGCTGGATGGAAGAGATGTCTAGGGCAAGGTATGTGGCTGGGGCACAGAGCTTCCATGCCTTCTGGTGCACCACTATCCCAGCGCTTCCGTGTGTTCAACAACCCAGAAGCTCTCAGAACCCTGTCCTTCTGGGCTTTTTTGGAGGCTTCATTATATAGTCATGATGGATTAAATCATTGACCATTGGCAACTGATTCAACCTCCAGCTCCTCTCCCCTCCCCGGAGGTCTAAAGAGTGACTGCAAATCAAAGCAGAATCTGTTGACCCCATGCCAAATGGACAAATGTATTTTACTCATTGTACTCTGAATAACTTCTCTTCACTTTATATAGCCATTTGTGTAACAGTGTAGATAAAAATTTGGGCTCAGAAGTGACAAAGTAAGTTGTGTTTCAAGGATAAGTTTTAAATTGGGGAAAAATATTCCAATTCCAAGGGTTTGAGGAGCTAGTGTCAGAAAAAAGGGTTGAAGACCAAATATATATTTCTTATAAGTTATAGTATCACACTTTATTTAAATGAGTCATTAGAAAAGTAATTTGATTGGAAATGAAAATGAATTATTTTAGCAAATTAACCTTTCTAGATGAATTTAATTTCAGTTTGCTATTCTGTGCCCCTTTTTGTGATCATCCTCCATTGAACAGTGTTGATTTTTGAAACCTTCAGAGTAAAATATTATAAACTAGGTTTGTTTTTTTCACATAAAGAATGTAAAGAAACAGTTGTTGTCTTAGTTAAACCATGGTTTATTTTACAAAATCAAAGAGTTTTTTATAGAGGAGCTTTTTATTATTGTGTTTTAGATGTTAGTGCCATTTCCAGCAAGATGAAAATGTCAGTAGGGCATCTGGGTGGCTTAGTCGGTTAAGCGTCTGCCTTTGGCTCAGGTCATGATCCCAGGGTCCTGGGATTGAGTCCCACATCGGGCTCCCTGCTCAGCGGGGGTCCTGCTTCTCCCTCTCCCTCTGCCTGCCACTCTGCCTACTTGTGCTCTCTATCTGTCTGTCAAATAAGTAAATAAAATCCTAAAAAAAAAAAAAAGTCAGTAGAAAGCTTTGAAATATCTACTTAAAAACTTTCTTTTCAAATACAATTCAAATTTAATACATTTCAACTGATATGTCTCCTTTTGTGAAGTTTAATATGATTATAGCAGGCTTTTATAGGCTTCTTTTAAATATTTGTTTAACATATATGGCGTATAACATTTTAACAACATGACCTTAGTATAGATTACATTGAGAATATGGTATGGGGGGCGCCTGGGTGGCTCAGTTGTTAAGCGTCTGCCTTCGGCTCAGGTCATGATCCCAGGGTCCTGGGAACGAGCCCCACATCGGGCTCTCTGCTCAGTGGGAAGCCTGCTTCTCCCTCTCCCACTCCCCCTGCTTCTGTTCCCTCTTTCGCTGTGTCTCTCTCTGTCAGGTAAATAAAATCTTTAAAAAAAAAGAGAGAATATGGAATGGAGGGTAGCTGGCCAATCTGAGAATTAACCTTTTTTCTTTCCCTTTTTTAAATCTTCCCTATACCTCATTTTTTATAGTCCAAATATTTATCATCAAAGTGGCTATTTGCAGCTTTTTTTTTTTTTTGAAGAATGAGGGATCCATTTTTTTTTTCAAAGAGCAATATAAATTAAACATTGTAGGTTTCTAAAAGCAGAATATGGAGAAAGAAATCCTGCATATACATACACTCTCCCACTTAGAAATATTTTTCCTCAATTTAAAACTTATCCTTGAAACACAACTTACTTTGTCACTTCTGAACCCAAATTTTCATCTACGCTGTTACACAAATGGCTGTATAAAGTGAAGAGAAGTTATTCAGAGTACAATGAGTAAAATACATTTGTCCATTTGGCATGGGGTCAACAGATTCTGCTTTGATTTGCAGTCACTCTTTAAAAATCCCTCTTGGGTTTGGCCTTTACTACTTTCCAAAGACCTTGGAGAGCCTGGTTTAGTATTTGAACTCTCCCCAAGGCTTGGTCTTTCTATAGTGACCCTAAAACTCAGGTTTGTTCTTCAAATGGGCAACCCAAATTCATGCAGACTGACTTATTATATTGTTATCATTATATTTGGCATACTTGGCCAAACCCCCAAAGGTATGCAGACTACCTATTACATAACTGGACTTCCATAAAAACCAGTGGAATTACCAACTCATTTTGCTGAAATTTCCAACTCTATAGAGAAAAATTCTAGTTGGAAGAAAGAAATCCTGATACATATAAACATATACTATGATCAAAAACAATAATACAGGTAAGAATCAAGCAAGTCTTGAGTAAAATAGTCCATTATAACTGCATGAACCATTCAGGACTAACTTCACCCTAAATCGCTGCAGAGGATAACCTAGAACTCCGAAGGACAAAAATATTCATCTTGAGCCTTGATGTACCAGTACACACTTAGTAAGACACATAAGATATTTCAAAGAAAAAGTAATATACAACCACAAAAAGAGCCTTTCCTACCACAGTAACTTTGATATGGCTCTAAAATGAGCCACTGTGGTACAGAAAAAAATGGCTGTCATTACATGTCTTTCCTAAGTAGAAATATCTATAGCTTTTACTGTTTGCATCGGAAGAGATTTCAGCTCAGCATAAGAATTCTACTTGGAATCATTTGAAAATCAAGTCTTTGAAGAAAAAGAAATGATTTTTCATCTAATGGTGAACCACATTTTCTTTTGCTACAAAAGGTTGGCAATGATATGATTTTTACTTAGTGACATAAGATTAATTTTAGTACCCATCAAGTCCCTTCATGTCTGGCTAGTAGCAGTATACGAATGCTCATTCTAAGTCATGTTGAAATGATCTGCTTCCCTCTCTCCAGCATTCAGCTGTATCTAAGATTTTTAGTGACAGTGGTTAAAATTTCATGTGTATTGTTCTCTTCTCACCCAGGACAATTCTTGAGAAAGAGAGAACAGTATGTAGGATTATACCCTGAAAAAGAAATTAACATAGCAGGAGCATACTTTATATCAGAAATATATGGGTAAACAAGGAAATGAAACTGACATTGATTGATTGACTCATTATATATTAGATAGTGATGTAGGCATTATGTACATTATCTTATAACACAAGCAGAAATGCCTGGTACATTTTTGCTTTTTGCTACAGATCTTTATTTTATTTTAAATCAAACTATTATATAGTGTTTGAAGATTGATCCCTGTAAGTAGGACTAGTTTGTGGTGATGGTCCATGGTCTTCAAGATATTGTTTTGTTTTAGTCATAGATTTCATTAATAAATTTATTTAAGCCCTCATAACTGAGTCTGTTATTTAAGAATTCTGACTCTCTTGAGCTAGAAGGAACTTTGGGTTTTATTCTTACATAAAATTTTATTATGTAAATACACATTTGAGGGACTACACAAGTAAGACATCCTATTAGTAATGTAGTTTACTCATTTCCCCGTGCAGAATTATTAACTTTAAACCCTGACAGATCTTAGTTTCTGAAAAGTTCTGCTATTTTATCATGGTCACATCAAAAGGCAGCTTTAACTGTCAGAGATAAGGGATATTTGAAAAACTTTCAACATGTTTTTATCTGTATTACTGTCATTTTTTTTAAGTATAAGAAAAGTCCAGAATCAAGTCCTAAAATGGAACATTTGAGGAAACAAGGACCACTGTTTGAAGATAACACAGTGACAGCTTGAATAAATCTTATTAAGAGAAAAATAGATGATATATTATGGACAGTTTTCAATAATTTCAGTATATAAAAGAATTAGATGGGTATGAAGTTAAGCGGGCTAGAGATGTCAAACCATTGAATACTGGAACTGATTTAATTGAAGAACAGGAAATGGAACATCTGCTTGTTCACTCTGGGCCGGTACTCCCAAGTACCTATACTTGCTAGGTAGTGTGCCAAGCACTGGGCACAGGAGGAGTTATGATCAAGTTGGGGACAGACAGGTAAATAAAAACAGGTAAATAAAACCAAAAGGTTGGCCACCACCATAAATTAGTCCCATCTCCAGAGGTCAGTGTCTGATCATTACACAACAGTTTGAT